TCAAAGCAAGCATGCTTTGACTCACAGCTTTTAAACTGACCAAAATATCTTCGGCAGGTCTAGAATGGGGTAGCTCAAGCAAAAGCTTTTCTTCTTGTTTTGCTCCTTAAATGCGGCCTCAGGAAGTGTGGGGGGATCTGGTAAAGCTGGTGGGTGGCTCCAAGACCAGCCCTGCTTCCCCCGGAGATGGGTGCAGGCCTGTCACTGCCAAAGGTCACAGAGACGGTCCCAACAAAGAAGGGGTCTCTAGGAATGCTGGCTAAAAGGAGAGCTCTTCCAAAAACAGGAAGCAGATAGAAATGTACATGGAGACATTGCAGAGGAGTTGTGGAACTTCTCCATGCAGAATTGTTACAAGAAGCTGTTGAGCATACACTGATTTGTCACAGAGCAGTCCGAGCTGATAGGTTTAGTGAGAGAAAAGTCCCCGAGGTGACTGACCAAGCACAAGAGGCCTCAGAGCCTCAGAACTGAAATGGGACAGCACAGGGACAGTGGACCAAGGTACTGGGAGGTGGAGACCTCTGGATGTGGAGATGCTGGTAGTGTTGGCTTAGGAAAAAGAGACCCCAAAGCACATGATGTCAAGGGCTTCATGACCCCAAGCCTACCGCCTCAGACGTGCACACCTTACAATATACATACAGGAACCCAGCATGATCATGTCTGGTCCTAATAAACTAATAGGTTATTTCTACTTACTGAATCTATGAGCAATAACACTGATGTACAGGAGGACATATAAAGCAGTTGGATGAAACACAATCAGCATTAAATACTGACTGAGCCTGTCTAGGTTCTGGACATTGCATAAAGCAGCCACTACTGCCTGGCCCTCACTCAAAGCTTAGTGCCACTTCCAGCCTGGGGCTGCCTGGACTGCCCGCAGCACGGAGAGGAGGTCTTGAGCAGTCAAAGAGGGGGCTCTGCACCCCTTCCTAGGGCCTGGCCCCCTGAATACCAAAGACACATAGCTCAAGCATGTGCAAAGTTATAGTCTTTTAAAAAGATGGAATTTAAAAGCATTGTTCGACACCTTTGGCAAATGTGGATAGAAGCCACTGCCTAGCCAGCCCTGGAGCACATGGGCCACCATGGGCTGTTGGTATCACTGGAAGCTCTAAGAGGCTGGCAATCACTGCCCTGGAGCACAAGCAGTTATGATAGTTACAATTTAATAACATGATAGTTTAAAAGACCAGGTTAAAAAAACCCACCTGGATTTCAAGATGAATCAAAGGAAGCAGTATTGGCAATTCCAACACATGAGCTCTGATGATAAGGAAGGTGAGATGCCCACGTAGGAGTGTCACAGTGCTGGCTGCGTCACCACACGACATCTCGCAGAAGCAAAGCACATGTGGAGACCGAGAAGGTGGTGGCGGCTCCCTCTCGGCAGCTGCTGTGGTGAAGTGTGTGCTCGGGGTAGCTGTGGCCCTGTGCACGTCCTGGACATGCCGCTGACACTGCTGTCTGGACACCTGTGGTCTCACCCTTGTTTCCTAAGGAGGATAAGGAATCTGAGTGTGAAGCTGTTGAGCCACGGGGAAGTGGGAGAAATCTCATCGGTCAAGTCTGTGCACCTCTCCACGTTTGCATGTGTACTAAGCTCTTACCTCTCGTGAGACCTGCCCAGTTGTTACACTGAGAGACCCTGAGGGAACCAGCTCAAATCGGAGCTGGAGCGCTGTGACCTTAAGACAAGCAGAGGACCCTCCAAGAGGCAAGTCTTCGTCACGTCTCCCTAGTGCATCTGCAGAAGCATCCTTATTTCCTGGGTTCCTTGAAATAGTTCCTGGGGAAATGTTCCATGAGCTATTTTTTTACTTTAGTTCAGCTTAGGACAACGTGCACCGTGTGTCAAGCTGCAGTGAGGTGGGGGTGACGGGGCCACGAGGGAGAGATGCCCCTGCTGCAGTAGCGGAGGGGAGGTGTGGACACCCGGGAGCGTATGAGTCCCACATGAATGGTGGACGCGATGGACAGAGGTGCCGGTGCTCTGTGAGGAAGGAGGGGGCATGGCACTCCTCTGGGGACCCAGGGAAGGGTCCCCAGCAAGGTGGTCATGAGATTTCCAAGGGTGCATGGGCAGAGTGCAGCTAGGGCATCGATGGGCGTGTGTGTGCCGGTGAGTGTGTCAGAGTGATGTGGAGAAGACTTCAGGGGACGCAAGTGCACGTGCAAGGACAGCCGAGTCAGGCAGCGTGCACCGAGAACAGAAGCCAGCAAGGGACGAATGTTCAGGTCCGGCCCTGGGCGATGAGGGTCTGTGGAAGATTTCACAGGGACGGGATGGGTGACGCTGCAGTTGGTATCGTGTGCTCTGGTGGGCACTTGCTGCAGGAGGGCAGGAGGGGAGAGGCTGAGGACAGAGAGAAGGGAGCAGCAGCTTGTGCATCAGGGAGCAGCTGGGGAGGGGGGGAAGGCACAAGAGAGGGGGGGGGGGGGGGGGACGGAAAACACAGAAGGGGAGGAGGAGGGGAGGGGAGAGAAGGGAAGGAGGAGAGGAGGGGAGGGGAGAGGAGGAGGGGAAGGCACAGGGGAGGGGGAGGGGAGGAGGCGCCCCTGCAGCGGGCCTGAGGCCTGAGGGCACAGACCCATCGGAAGAACAGTGAGAAGTGGGACCTGCTGGCTGGGCAGGGAAGAAGTCATCATAGAGTCAGAGTATTATTTTTCTAGGAGTTGGGTGGCTTTGAGTGCAGACCACATCCTGAAGACACTTTTTCTGAAACCCTTAGGCCGAATCTTCACCCTGTGTGTTGGTTTGGGGCGGCTTATTTTGCAAGGGGAACAACATAATACAGGACACATACTTTATATGATTATTTATAAGTCACCCCAAGAACAGTATACAAAAGAGTGCAGGAAATCTGTCCACACACTAAGACCAAGGAATCCAGCTGAGGGCCTGGATCCCACAACAATGTCCTACATGAGTTGAGCTGAATACCCAGAGCTCATAACAATGCCTCCATGAATCCAACTGGAGGCCCAAAACCCATGACAATGTCTCATGCAGACCTGTTTCATGGATCTGCTGGAAAGGCCCAAAGGTCAGTGGTGGAATCTACAATCTACCCTGTCTCTGAATATTAGCCAGTCGTGTCTTCTGGTCTTCTCTGTGTGTCTCTCTCATCTCTCTCATCTCTCACACCCTTTCTGCTCCCTGTCACAGCATGGACCATGCACAGGTGCAGCGCTTTGACCTCCCTCTCCCCAGCCCCCAAACCCTCTGTTCTTTACAGATTTCCCAGTCTGTGGAATTCGGTTACAGCAGCAGAAAACAGATGAAGCCAGAGGCCGTCCTTAAATTCCTCTCTGTCCCCTCATCCCACTGATTCCAGAATCCGTCCCCCGGCCCGTGCTTCCCGCCCCTCCCCCGGCCCTGGCAGGGTGAGAGGCTTCCTGTTACCTCGTCTTTCTCTTCCATGGAGAAACCTCTGAGGAGGCTGCGTGGAACAAGGCGGGGGGGGGGGGGGCTCAGCTGACCCCTCCCCAGTCGCAGGGCAGACAGATGTGCCTTGCCCCGTGTAATCGTGGGCCAGGACTTTAAAAATTACTTTGTGTCAGCTGTGGCACGTTTGAACACCCTGAATATTTCAGGAGACAGTTAACTGGTGTGTTGTAAAGAAAGATTTAATAAAGACATGCATGTCGGGGCTTGCCGGGCCAGCACCTCTGTCTGCGGCTGGCAGCGCGGGACGCGGGCCTTTGACTGCGCGCTGGGGGATTTTCTCTGCTTAACTCGCTGTGCACACAGGTTTAACTCTTCACAAGTCCCTTTCTTCCTCAGGTCACCCTCAAACTCCGGCCATAGCGTGCCATGTGCACGTGACTCTGCCCTCTTGTCCCCAAGACCACGCTGTTCGGTCCGGGTTCCTGCCTCCCAGAGAGAGGCGGCCGGGCTCGGGGACACTGGCGCCGCTCAGCCAGGAGGGGCAGGTGGGCAGGGGATCCCTGTTCTGCGCCCTCTCAGGGTCCTTGAACCTCGCCAGGGAAATACCCTTTGGTTCTGCAGCAGTTAAGATCTTATCTTGGCTCGAGATCATCATTACGGGAGGGAGAGAGGCGGTTTCAGAGACTGTTAGCAGGGCCCGGCATAGGCGCAGCCCGTCCTCGACGGCCCTATCTGCCTTCCGCATCGCGCCCAGCTGCCAATGCTAAACATCATCTTAATAATAATAACACGTTGCTTTCTCCCAGCTTGCTTTCATCGAGGAGCCCAGAGCACTCTACAAGCGTTAATTAATTAAGCTCCGCGCAGCACCCCTTTGAGGTCCTGTGCCCGGGTGCGGCACAAGATGGTTCAAGTGGTTCTCTCTGGCTCGCCCACTCTCGGCTTCAGCAAAATTCCCAACAAAGGCCCCCTGCTGCAGGGTTCAACCGAGTCCAAGATGAAAGGCGAGCATCCCCGCGGAGAGCTGGCTGGCCTGGGCGTCACCTGCTTCTCGCAGAGGTCTTTTGTGTGAAGTCCTGGGGCTGATGGACCGGGCCAGTCCTCGTCCTACCTGCCTGTCAGCATCTCAGGGCAGGGAGACCCACCCAAGGAGAAGAAGGGACAAGGGACAGAGCCTGGCGCCCGGCGCTCACCAGCCCTGTTGCCCTGAGTTCGGAGCGGAGATGAGTCCATTGCCAGCATCCAGCGGCGGCGGCAGCAGCCGTGCCCCTGGGCCCCAGGGTCGGAACAGTGCAGATCCCACAGCCTGGCTCTGACGCTGCCAGCAGTGTGCACCACACGTCTGCCTGGTGCCCACCCTGGCAGGCCGGGCACGGGGGACAAGAGTGAACGGCCCCTGGCCTCATGCCCGTGGTCTGACCTAGGGCCCCAGAGAAGGACACGGTGGAGACGGTGGCCCATGGCAAGCGCAGTGGGGGTGGGCACCCCTCCTGGGCCTGCCGACAGCAGCGGCTGCTCTGGGGTTCTGCGCTGAGGAAGCCAGCCGCTGAGAAGCTCTGTGACATGATGGCCTCGTTATTGTGACTTGGTCCTGATGGCGTCATTGCGTGAGCCCCCACGTCTGTCCTGTGACCAGCTCCTCCCATGCGCAGCCTTGGCCCGGCTGCTGGGGGCAGTAAACAGCCACGGTCTGATGCCTCCATGGCCGAGAGAGGAGAGGCCGGCACTGGGCCCTGACCTGGGCCCCAGGCGGAGGGAGCCCGGCTCCTGGGCACGACTTCCGATGCCTCCCTCAGACCAGCTGGGCCTCTGGGTGAGGGCAGCGGGGAGACTGGTGTGTCCTCAGAGGCTGACCCGTGCGAGACCCTGTGAAAGCGAGAGTGTCAGTTTGGGGTGCAAAGGCTGGGTTGGCCCGGAGCTGTGGACTGGACGTGCCCCACCCGGAGTGGGCTGCTATTCTCGGTGCTGAGTGTTCCCCAAAGCCATGGGCTAAGGAGTGGTGCCCAAGGCTGAGGAGGTAGGGACCACAGGAAATGTGAAGTCCCGCTGGGCCTGCAGTCTCTCTCTCCCACACCCTGGCACGAGGTGACCGCTTCTGCTGTGCTGTGCTTTGGCTGCCGTGCTTCTCCCCTGACGCACTGCCCTGTGTGGCCAGAGGCCTGGGCCGCCGGCCGGGTCTGCTCTGCTGACCTGCAGCCTGAGGAAGCCCCCTTATCTCCAGTGAGGTCAAGCCGGTCCTGAGGGTGGTGCAGAGCCTTCCCCAGCTCTCACTAGAGTCCACTACCAAGGCCACTTTGGGGCTCTGGAGCCTGTCCTATCCTGGGCCCAAACTCAGTCCAGTCCTTGGTGCTTGCTGCTCCCTGCCAGGCTCTGCCAGTGCCCACCCTCTTCGCTGACCGAGCGGGCCGCACCCTGCAGGGGCCATTTGTGGAGAGGACCTGTGCAGAGACAGAGCATCGGGGACTATTTCAGATCAAGCTTACGACGCTGTCTGTGACGGTCAGTGCTGGCCCCAGAAGACTCTGGGGTGGTGGGGTAGGCGCAGGTCTTGCTGTCAGGCCTTGTCTGGACAGCCTTGCAGGAGTGGTTGAGCCAGCAGGAGTGAGCCCAGCCCTCCTGTCCCTGCACAGCTCGACACTGTGTCCCAAGATGCCCTCTAGCAGTGCAAGTTTGGAGCTGAGCTCTGGCCCGGAGTATACAGGAACACTGGTGGGTGAGGGGGTCCACCTGAAGTTTGCTGAGACCCTGCAGCCAGCTCTGGGGAGGCCACGTCTGCCCTTCCTGTGGCCAGTAGCTCAGCATCCCCAGCCGGAAGAGCCCTTCTGACGGAGTCTGGCCTCAGTGTCTGGGGAATGTGGGGGTATGTTCGGAAGGGGACATGACTTTGCCCTGAGTGCAGTGGTTCTGTGGTGGATCAGGGTTATTCTCACTTGTTTCCACCCGGACCACAACCCCCGAGGGTGCTGTCATGGGGGTGCTGTGAGGGGGCGGATGGGAAGGAACCTGCGAGGTCATAAAGGGAGCTGCACCAGGGCCAGAGCAAGGCTGCAGGCCAGGTCCTGGCGGGGAAGCCTTGCCCAGGGTCCTGGCACCCTGACTCACCTGAGGCTCAAATCCCATCCTCTCTTGGTGTCCGGTCCCCCCAGAGGGCTGGTGACCCCCGCTCCAGGGTCTACACTCTCGGCCAAGTGTTGCAGAGTTGAAGGAACCTACAGCTTTGGCGGGGAGGACTTTGACGGGCCTCCACGGGGACGGTGTCTCCCCTTCTTAAGGGCCCAGGGAGCCCAGAGCTGGGCTGAGGGGGCTGTCAGAGGGTGCAGCGGCTTTTGTTTGACTGTGTTGGCTCCATTTGGACTTCTGCCCTCTTTCTCCTGAGCTGTGACCATTGAAATGTGGCTTCCTGTGAGCTGAATGCACCCGTGAAAGAGCATACTCACATGACTTTTGACAAATGCCCACCGCCCTGTAATCACAGTGACCACAACCCGTAGAGAAAATACCGCCAGGAATCCCCAAATTTACTCATGCCTTCTGCAATAAATTCCCTCTTGTTTCCTGAGATCCTAGAAACCACTGAGCTGGTATCTGTCCCAAACATTTACCTCCTCTAAGACACGCGGTGATGGAGTCTGTGAGATGCAGGCCTTCGTGCCTGGCTTCCTCCACTCCCACATCGCTGCATGTTCAGTGGTTCTCACATGGATCCACTGTGTTTCCCCAGCCGTGGAGCTGCGTGTGCACGTGGGATCCAGTGTGCGCGCCTGGCCGCAGAGCTGCGTGTCCATGTGGGATGTGGCATCTGTCCATTCAGCTCCGTGGCCAGGCCCAGATCCCGGAGCCAGAAGGCTTGCAGTCTGAAACCTTGCTCCCCCACCGACCTGCTCTGCGTTTTCAATAAGTAACCCTTCCCAGGCCCGCCATGATCCCCGAGTCACCTGTATCACCCCTGCATTGCACACTGCGTTGCTGTCACACACGCTAGGATGCTGCCGTCACTGTTAATGTCATAACATCAACACGGAAACTCCGCAGAAGTGCGTGTGAACTCAGCCGCCCATCTCATTTTAATTTTATTTATTCTTTTCCTACATTTCAAGCTTCCTTACAATGTTCATCTCTTATTTGTCTGTTCTTTTTTTGTTTGTTTGTTTGTTTTTTCTGGTACCAGGAATCGAACTTACGACCTTGCACTTGCCAGGCAGGCGCTGTGCCGCTGAGCTAAATCCCCAGCCCCCATCTCTTATTTGTATAAGAAATATTAAAAAAAGTTTGCCAACTGAGGTGGTATATGCTTGCAGTCCCAGCACTCAGGAGGCTGAGGCAGGGGGATTGCCATGAGTTCAAGGCCAGCCCCGGTTACAGAGCAAGACTCCATCCCAAACCCAAACAAAACAAACTTTAAGGAATATTTAATGTGACAAACTCATGATGTAACTTAAAGTGAAAACACACAGGAAACAAACCTGCACACAGACACTGAGCCTTCTTTTGTTTATATGTAAAAGCACAGATCAAAGTGTAGGTGAAAGCAGAATGTAGTTTCCCGGTGGGGAGAGATCTGTAGTTTCCTTTTAATGCATTCAGTTATTTAAAACTTTTTCTGAGCGAGCTGTGTTTGTACGTAGAAGGAGAATCAAGGAAAGTCGTTCTCGCGTTTTGTGTTTGTGACTGGCTGCTTGGCTAAAATTCTAGTGTAACCTTAAATTAGTGGTCACTCAGGGACACGAGTGGAAGAGTGGAGAGACTTTCTTTTAAATTAAAAAGCGTATCACTCTTATTACTTACACAGGATAATAGGTTTCAGTCTCGGATTTTCACACCTGCAAGTTGTGCACTTTGACATCTCCTCATCTCCCCCTCTCCCTTCCTTACCCCATTCCCTTCCTTGCCCATGACCGCCTCAGCCTGTCCTGAGTGTTTCCTACCCCTGTGCTCTTGGCTCCCTTGGCCTGATCGCTTGCATCAGTTTCTGCAGAGCCCAGTGTGCTTGTGCCCCAGTGCCTTGGCATGTGCCCTTGCCCCTGCCCAGGATGGGCTCCATTAATTCCCTCCTCTCCACACCTCCTCCGCAAGCCCTGTGGCCTCCGGCGGCCAACCTCCATGGGCTCTGATGTGCGTCTGATGTTCCCTCATCTTCTGAGAACTCAGTGTGAGCCCCACTGCCTCTGAGCATGGTGAAGGTTCCACCTGAAAGCACTCCTTTGCTAGCTCACAGGTGACAGAGGCCGTCTGAGTCACTGTGCTCACTTAGAGCCCTGCTGCCTTTGAGGTGTTCGTTTCCTGCTGAGAGAAAGCCCCTCAGTCTTCTGCATGGCAGAGACATTTCCTCGAGCCAAAGAGCGGAAGGACTGCATCATGCTCCAGGACTGGTGGGGTTTAGGGTCCACTCCAGCTCCAGAATATCTATGCCAGGCCCCGGAGGGCCAGTGTAATAAATAACAAATCAAGTCAAAGACCCGTCTCGGCAGGGACGCCGTGCCAAACAGCCTGGACAGCTCAATCGCGGGGTTTAGAAGCGGCTCCTAAGACAGGAGGCGACCTCTTCAGAGGCCCAGCGCAGCGAGGGCGTGAGGGGACAGGGGACTGCAGACTGAGGAGGGCACAGGAGGGCCCGCAGTCTATACCAGAGACTGTCCGGTGTTTTGGAAATACCACGCAGGGGCGCTGGCTTTGGAGCCTTGCGTAGCTTTGCACAGCATCACATGGCTTCGAGTGTGAGGCACCCAGGGAGGGACCGAGGTCCCGCTGTTGCACCTTCACCCCCTGTGTGGAAGATGCCCTCTGCCCAGCTGGATCTAGAAGCCACATCTTATGGGCATTCTGGGTCCGCCTTGCATGGCCTCCTTCCCTGGAAATGCCCTATCTTTGGTGCAGACATTTAGAAACTCGATTATTTGTTTATTCTTGCTGCTGTTGTAATTCTGCCTGATTTTAAAGCATGCAGAGTGTAGAAGGTGAGTTATAGGGGGAAATGATGGTACTAAACCCCCAGTTTCACCAACAAGAGAATTACTTGTTCTCTTCTTCAGCCAAGAAGAAGCAAGGAGCCACTCAGATTCCTGCTAATTGTTGCGGACGTTTAATAACGGGCCGACTTGGGAAGCCCACAGACTCTTCCCATAGGGTTTCAATATTCCCTAAATTTGTGCGGCCAACTCAGGCTTTCAGTTTCGAGAAACCACCAGACTACAAAAGGCTTTTTCTTTGCACGCTGAGCTGGACCTCGAAAGGCCCCACGCAGCCCCCACACCCATCAAAATGTCTCTGACGATTTCTTCCTTGTGCTTTCTGCTTCCAGACATTAAAGAGCACTTTCAAGTCGAACCTACAGCGGGAGGATGTGAAAAGGAGTCGCCACCGTGCCATCCCGGCGACGCTGAGCAAAGGGATTGTGTGGAGAAGCCGCGTGTTTTCCTTTTGAGTCTGAAAGGAGCTGGGGGGATCCTCACGAGGCGCTGGGGTCCCTCCCCGAGCCTGCTTTCATCCGCACCCCTGCCCCCACTGCCCGCTGTTTGTGTTCTCCCCCTGGCCAGGGAGGCCCCGGAATTTCTCTTTAGCTTTTGTTTGCTAAAGGGAGGTTCAGGGCTTATGTAAAAACTGGCACCTAAGTCTGACATAGTTTCTGCAGCCAGGAGCGCCTCTGAGAGTGGAGGTCAGCTTTCAGACTGGGCTTTAACTGCCGCGCTTGTAATCCCAAGATGTTGAATGCTTTTTAAATTGCAGACACGGACTGGGAGAGGAGCCTTTTTACAAACTAAGTGCCCTAAGCTGCTGCGAGTGTTTTCACAAGACACCTCCGGGAATGCAGAGCGGAGCTGCCGCGGCCAGCGCGCTCCTCCTGTGGAAGCTCTCGCTTTGTGCAGCCTGCCGCGGCCTCGGGGTGGGGGCCCGCAGCCCAGTGGAGGGGGATTAACCTCACAATGGGGCACCAGCAATTTGGGTGACCCTCAGTTTGGGTGACCCCCAGAATGGGCCTTGGGCAGGAGGGACAGGGCTTCTCGGGAGCGAGAGCCTGGGCTGGACTCGCTCACTCACTGGACAGCAGCCTGGCCGGGTGGGCACTGCAGATTCACGTGGTAGCTTCTCCTGAGAGTCTATGGGCTGTCACAGAGCCTGAAGGTGCCAGCTTTTCAAATAGGATTTTAATTTTGGGACGAGGAGACAGCATGGCCTTGAGTACAAATGTGATGGGGAGGGCGTTGCTTCCTGACGGGGTCTGTTGGTGTCTGATGGTGCCTGTGGTGTGTGAGGGTGTGTGAGTGTGTGTGAGGGAGTCTGATGGTGCACAGTGGTGTGTGATGGTTTGTGACGGGTTCTGATGGTGTGTAAAGCGCTGTGATGGTGTGTGAAGGGTCCACAGAGTCTGCTGGGAGGTGCTTGGTAGCCGATGCATCTGTGGGACTCTGAGGCCTGTGACAACATCTGCTGGCATCTATTGGCATTGCTGGCATCCGTAATGCCCAGTGCCTGCTGGAGCCCATGGAGCTGACTGGGACTGGGATCCATGACATGGTGCCTGGGAAGAAAGGCTGTAACTGTGGACGTCTCTGAGGAAGGTTCTCAAGTTTAGAGCCTTGGGCCTCTGTGTAGGCCGACCCCAGTGTCTGCCGGGTTGGAGATGTGGATGGGACGACGTACCACGGCTGAACAGGGAGAGACTCTGCAGAGGGACTTTTGGTACAGAAACCCTCAGGCGGCTTGAGCTCAGCCAGCTGGTCTGGGTTTAAATGCTGGCTTTGACACATTCCTGGTTATTTGACTATGAAAAAAAATCCTTTAATGTAATTTTTAAGAAGTTTTTGCCACCTGTACTTTTTAAACTCCTTTGTCACTTGCTAGGAGAAACAAAAGTTGAGAAAGCATCTTCTTGCAGGAAACTCCAAGACTAATGGGGATACAAACCGCAAGCTGCTACTGGGTAGTAGGAAGCAGCGTAAGGGCTGTGCAGTGATGAACTCGTACAGCTGCAGGGCAAGGAGGCCTCACACCATCGAGGCAGGGAAGCATGTGGGGCCTTCAGGACAGGAATGATTGATTCTCACCAGAAGGGTTGAATTGGGCCTTAAAGAGAAGACAGTGAATTGTTCAAAACGGGGCCACAGAGATGGAGAGAGGGCTCTGGGGCGGCCTTCGTATCTCAGAGTGAACAGCCTTCCCTAAACTCCGAGCTCCGAGCTCCAAGCTGGACTACAACTCCTGTTCCCACGGAGGGACGGACAGGCGGTGTATGGTGTGAGGTGTCCTGCATTCTGTTCGCAGCAAGATCTCCGTGCCCTTCTTTGCTGCAGCTGTGTTGCGGGTCTAGCTCATCAAACATGAAGGTCTGCAGGATCTTTGGGATATGGCCCTTGGTTTTGCTTGTGGGTCCATCCTTAAATAATATGGATAATCTATTTTAAAATAATAATAAATTCATAATCTATTCTAAAATAAAAATAATTTTCAAGTGCATAATATACATTTGAAAATGCAGCAGTTTGCCTTATACTTCACTGAGGCTCTAGTTTTCAAAAGATCACAAAACAACCACACAGCCCTGGAGACCAAGACAGACCTCTCCCAGGTCCCAGCATGTTTCCCTAGGTGTACTCAGAGGCCTTGAATGTTTTCCTACATGTACTCAGGAGGCCTTGAATTTGATAACCTGGGTCCCCATTGCAAGCCCTTCTGTTAAATTGCAATTGGTGCTTATCGGCAAAGGAATTTGAAATTTTTGGTTGTGTTCTTTGAAATTTCTTTTTGCTCGACATCAATTGTTTGGGAGTTTTTGTCAACAGAGACTCTGAAAATTGTGATCAGGTCAGAGAAGTTCTCAAACACTAGGTTGGAACAGTCAGTTAAGTGGAGGCTTCTTGTCCCCTTACTTACTACTTCAGTTCAAATCGACAGAGGGCAGAATCTTAGGCTTCAGAGGCAGCCTCCCATGCCCTAAGAGAGATGTGAATAAGTCCTCATGGGGAATGTGGAGGGCCCACCTTTCAGAAGAGTCTAGCACACAGGAAAAATGGGATGAGGATGGAGAAACTGGTGCTGGCCCAGTGCTGCACTGCTCACGGGTGAGGTGGGGACTATACCCTTCACAACACATGGAAAATAAACCCTCAGAACAACGCTTGGGACTACAGTGATGTCCTGTTTCACAGACGAGCCCGGTGTGGGCGACTTTCTCCGAGGAGCACGGTCAGCACGGAGTGGGGAGAACATCTCAGCTGCCCCCCCCCCAGCAGCGTCTCCTTGCCCCCACACCGGGTGCTCCCAGCAGGACCGCCCCACCTCCAGGAGAGGTCAAAGGCTCTGCATGTCACTCTGCTGTTGCTCTCAGCGGTGCTTAAAGCCCGGACCTTGCAGATTCCAGGGATCTTCCCACATGGTCTGCGAGAGGAAAACTATTTTGATGAAAATGCTAAAGCTGGGCCCAGGGACCCACACTTGTAACCCAGCACTCTGGGAGGCTGAAGCAGGAGGATCACAAGTTTGAGCTCAGTCTGGGCACTCTAGTGACTTACTGAGAGGCTGTCTCAAAAAAATCAAAGAGGTAGGGATAGGAATGTAGCTCAGTGTGAAGGCCCTGGGTTCAATCCCCAGGACTGCAAACAAAACAAAATCCATGCTGAGAGAGTATTTGTGTTTCTCACCGTGTTAATGCTTGTGTGGATGCTGTAGAAGCCACAGCGGGTGGAAGTGCTGGTGTGTGAAATGCTGACCAGCAGGGCCATCGAGCCGTACCGGTAGTCACTGTGTACATCACCATCACGCACTGCCAGTAAGACACGCCAGCGAAAACCCCAGTTCCACTCAAAGCCATTTGACACGGAGAAGCTGTGGCAGCCCTGGACCTAACGCCCTGTTCTCACACTGTGAGGGGACGGGAGCCTCCATGGACCGTGCTCCACTCCCCGGGTGACTGTCACTGCGGAAAGTGCTCGAGGGCTGTGCCGTCGGCTGGGGCAGCCTTCAGGCTGGGGCTTCCGCTTTACGGGAACGGCTTAACAGTGACAGAAGCCTCTGGTCATTCCACCCTCGGTGTCTGGCAATTGTTTTTTAAAGGACAAAATCAGCTGGTCACTGCAGGAAATCAGTGTTGCCAAAAATAAAATGCAAACTTCCAAATGAAAGCTAGAAGTTTAGAAAGACATGATTTGCCACTGTGAACTGGATGAACTTCCCATTACTAAAGGCACTTCTTTTTTAAAGACATTTCTAACAGGATCAGGGGAGATACTGAGTACTGTGATTTTTGGATGTGATATAACAAGGTGAGTCTTCATATCTCAACTTCTCGATATTATGTAATGAGATTTGTCAGCTCGGCAGATAGACACAAAGGCGCAAGGCTACAGAGTCCTGGGTGTGTCAGAGACCTCTCCGGAGACGGGGCCAGTGGGGATAGAGTCGTACTTGCGGCTGGTCTTGAAGAGACAGCTGCTTGTTAGGTTTTGGTGGCGCGTGGAAGAGGAACACTCGTGACCATTTAACACGACTCCCATCCCCCGCTACCAAGCTCCATGGCCTGGAGGGCTGTGTCCGGAGAAACGCTTGGAAGTTGAAAACATCGTCTGTACATGGACAACGCACCAGAGACACCCTGTTTATCTGACACCAGCGGTGAGCAATGCGTACCAGGCCGTGCGTCTTGTGGCGGTGCTGCTGGAAGAGCTGGCGTCGGGGCTGTGGCCCTGCGTGGCAGATGATGTCACCAGCCCAGGGAAAGGTCAGAGCACAAAGCTCTGAGTATAGCTTTCACTGAACGCAGATTTTTTTCTCACCATTGTAAGATACAGCAAAGCAACCTTCAGCAGAACCATCGTTAAGCTGAGGACTGTGTGCCCGCAGCTGTCGAAGCCGGATCTTCTCATTTCACCCAAAGTCCCCATCACTGAGGCAGGGGCACCCAGTGTCTAGATGAGAAGACACCTTTCGTTTTCCATCTACGCAGACTTGAGGTTGTGAGAACACAAAACAATGCCACTCTCCTCAGTCACTTTCATTTTGTTTTGGGAAAAGTTAACCGTTTTCCAGGAGAATATGCTATTTTGAAAATATGTGCAAGTGCTTTCTATGCCATTCATAGGAGAGTCGATCAAGTTTGTTTTATTCTTACTGCATAAACAGAGGTAGAGGGGCTGGGGATTTAGCTCAGCGGCACAGCGCCTGCCTGGCAAGCGCAAGGTCGTGAATTTGATCCCCGGTACCGGAAGAAAAAAAAAAAACCAGGGAGAGCAACCATTTCTACCCTGTGAGTAAGCAGTTGGAAAGTTACTCATATTTTGAATTAAAAGGATTTCTGAAAAATATAATGGCACCCAGTTATCATGGGCTTTCTCTGGATTTGCTAAATCATTTCTACTTTCCTATGTAAAATGTACTCAGGGAAGTAAATGTATGTGTAAATGAAATATTCACGAAAAGACAACATGGGCCACCGGGTAGAGAGTGCATCCGGGCTGCGAGGAGCCAGGACCTGAGTTCTTTCTACACGTCATGTGGCCCTTTCTTGCTTTCTGTTCAATTTCTTATTTGTCCATGTTTGGAGCACACAATGTTTACATTCCTGGTGGGGAGGTGGTGCACTGGACAGAACACCTCTCCATTCTTCTCCCCTCCTCCCTCCCTCAGTCTCTGGATCTCCTTTCATCTGCAAAAGATCTATCCTTCCGTTTCCTACTGTCCATCTTTCACTTTGCTTTGTTTTTTAAAATTACTTATACTTTGGGTTTCTGCA